TGCAAAATCAAATTAGTCTCTATAACAGTTCAATCAGTAGTTATGCCTAACAGGATGCTGGCAGGATGTTGTTCAGAGAAAATATTTACTTATTTTTTTTTTGGGGGGGGGGGAAGGAGAAAAACTAAAACAGATCCTTAAAACAACAGTGCCAGACTTAAGGGACAGCTTCTTGTCAGCCTGGGCTGCTTAAGTCAATGCCCACGACTGCTGTTTGTAAAGCTGCTGAGATGGAGGTTTCACCCCATCTGTTAGTTGACACTGACGGAGACCCCTCCTGGGATTTCCCCCTCCCTCTCTTGCATTCTTAAGACACCCCCCTCCTCCTCCTCCTCCTGTCTCCATTTGTTGCTCTCCCCCACCCTGTCATTCGCCTGGTTGAGATGTTACTTTCTTGACAAGCTTCCCTGGCTTGTTTGTTGGTTTTGCTGAGGGTGGGTGTGGAAAATGCACCCATCCAACCCTCCTCTCCCTCCTCACTGTGCCTCTCTTCTCCCACAACCTCTCAATTATTTCTCTGCCCCCCCTCCCCACAATTAACATTCTCCTAACTTGACATGTCTTCCCCTCATTTTGGCTCTGGCTATCCTATCCCCCCCCCCCATCCCCGTCCCACCCCTTCCATCTCCCTATTAATTCCAGGCATTAATATTTTCTTTCACGCAAGGGCCGCCATTCACCCGTGAAACAGTTTGAACATTAGGTAGCTGTCAAGATGCCCAGGGATTACCCAGCATGCTTCTCCCCCACCCCCTCGTAAGTGACACCACCGAGGGCCGCTTCGGAGATGTTTATTTGGAGAGGGAGCTGAAAGGCGTGAAGGCTTGATCCCAGGGAACCCATCTCATTTAATTAAAATACTCTTTCATTATATTTCGCCTTTCCCCTCCCTCCCTCCCTCCCTCCTCCTCGCCCAAAAAAGAAAAGGGAAAGAAAAACTCCTTTGGGTTGGGAGAGAGTATTGTTTTGCAGGGAGCAGACAGGGGTAAGGTTATCCCACCCAGTTGAAGCTATTGTGTGGTCGATGCTGTTGTATGTATGTGTGTGGGGTCCCCCCCCCCTGGCCTATTTAGGAGGAGAAATATTGTGGGGATTGCTTTGGCCCCTTATTTTGCATGTTGAAGTTGAGATTTGTGGCATGGATACCTCTCGTTTCACTTAAGCAAGCAAGCAAAAAAAAATGCATACACAAAAAACAACACAGAAGAGAATAGAATAGAATACAATAGAATACAACAGCAGAGTTGGAAGGGACCTTGGAGGCTTTCTAGTCCAACCCCCTGCTCAGGCAGGAAATCTTATAGCATTTCAGATAAATGGTTTTCCCAATCTCTTTTTAAAAACTTCCAATGTTGAGGCATTCACAACTTATGGAGGCAATTTGTTCCACTGATTAATTGTTCCATCAGGAAATTTCTCCTTAGTTCTAAGTTGCTTTCTCTGCTTGCCTTTTGATGCTTTGGAGAATAGCTTGACTCCCTCTTCTTTGTGGCAGCCCCTGAGATATGGGAACACTGCTATTGTCCCATTCCTAGTCCTTCTTTTCATTAAACTAGACATGCTCAATTCCAGCAACCATTCTTCATATGTTTTAGCCTCCAGTCCCCTAATCATCTTTCTTGCTCTTCCCTGCACTCTTTCCAACATCATCTTAAAAACTTCCAGTGTTGGAGCATTCACAACTTCTGGAGGCAACTTGTTGCACTGATTAATTGTTCTAACTGTCAGGAAATTTCTCCTTAGTTCTAAGTTGCTTCTCTCCCTGCCTTTTGATGCTTTGGAGAATAGCTTGACTCCCTCTTCTTTGTGGCAACCCCTGAGGTATGGGAACACTGCCGTCCTCTTTCCCCATGTCCTTCTTTTCATCAAACTGGCCGTGCCCAGTTCCTGCAACCGTTCTTCATATGTTTTAGCCTCTAGTCCCCTGATCCTCTTTCTTGCTCTTCTCTGCACTCTTTC